TTTAAGATAGCTCTCGGTTAAACGTGTACCTGCTTTGAGCATTGATTCCATGGACAGTATTCTTGGTCAATAATAATTGGGTTCAAAACATTAACCATTGTAATATCTTCAACATGCATATCAGTAATGGGAGAAGTTCCTGGGGCGCTAGGCCATGTCTTGATCCTTATACCATTGTCAGTATTTGTCAAGGTGCAATTCTTGACTAAAAGATGTTCCACAGACTCTTCATTTACATACTTTCCAAGGCTTCCAACACTAATGCCATGGCCAGGTCCACAATTCACGTTTTGAATAGTTATTTGTCTGCTGCCATCTCCGATTGAGATACAATCATCACCCGTTGCAATGTTGGTGTTAAGAATTTTCACATCAGTTGATCTTCCCAAGTGGATCCCATCGGTGTTGATGCTGTTACCAGGAGCACTGACGATGAAGCCATCAAATGTGACATTGGTGCACCCCAAAACATTGACATGAAAATTTTTGCTGTCCTTAGAAGTTATGTCGCGAATAATTGAATGCTTTATGAAGTTGAAACCAAAATTCTGTTGACATTTCACAGGAAACTCAATACACTAGCATGTTATGTAAATATGCAGTTATATGACAATATTCAAATGGCTACATATTATTTCCTTACCATGGAACGCCTCTTGCAATTCTTGTTTGTTCCACAGTCATTTTCTTTCCAAGATCTTGACCCTTGACCATCAAAAGTGCCTTTACCTGATATGGTTAAAAAGTCAACATATCCAAATTTGACCCATTGATAAGCATCGTGGAGTGCATTTGGGTCAGCTGGTGCTTGAATGGTTCCATCAACTTGAACTTCAATGGGAGCCTTACAAGGACCTTTTACATCTATTTCATTCATCCTGTATGTCCCACGTGGAATCAGAATTTTGCTTGGAGTTGTTGATACACATGCTTCTTTCCAGGCACTCGTGAAAGCCTTAACACATACAAAATGAAAATCAAATGCAAGCTAACAACAATAATAATCATCAATATAGTTTTCTAATATTTGAATTTTGAGTATATTCAATAGAATTTTACCTGTGTTATATCTGTGTTTGGTTTTCCACCAAATTTGTTTATATTAATGATAGTTGACTGGGCTATACCAAAGATAGCCAGCAACAAGAACAATGTAATCGTCGCAATGTTCAACTTCATGGTCATGTTGATTACTGTTGAACTTTGTTTTTTTGCACTTCTAAACAATGAATGTTGTTTCTAAAATACTGTGGAACAGTATTTATATTTGAATTGTGAAGCTTAAAGCCGCTAACTATGTAAACAAAGTACTACAAAGTAATTTCGTCCATGCAAATGGTGTGGTTGAGCTTGTCGATCGCTATTAATGGCAATTCATTAGATAACACTAATTTGTAACCAATTTGCCTGATATAACCTTTACCAATATAATTCGCAGAATGACTTAAGATTTTGTCTTTGTAATTCTTGGAAAGCCGAAATTAGAGTTACATATTGAAGAACAAATAACGAATTGTCATTAGTTTGAGCAGGAAAGAGTACCTCCGTAGTAACATCCTTTAATCAACAATAAACTTAACTTGTCACCATGTCCAGCTAATTGAGGTATAAATTAAGTTCATCCTCCTCCCAGTGAAAATTATAATAATAATAATAAGAAGAAGAAGATTAATTTAAGAACTTAGTTTGAAATTTGTTAAAATGATAAATAATTATTATAACTGACCAACAAATGACATGTATACAAGTTTTCAACATATTTATGTTATTATAAGTAATATATAGCTACATCTATGTTTGATTGTCATGACTAATTTTCTCTTAAGATTTCATCTTTATCAAAGTAAACAATTTGGAGGAATTAAATATAATAGCTTATGAATATTTAAAAAAGAATTATATTTATAATATCCATCTTTGTATTATAAATTTAATTTTTTTACTTTTGAAAGAACGTATTTCAAAGAAAAAATGTCCTTCTCATTAAATTGTTACTTCTTTTTTCTAAACTATTTTATTACTCTTCCATACTACTATTTTTTATAAGCAAATGTAACATATATTATAATAAACAATTGAGTACAAATAAATTGTACTCACATTACAACTTTGTACATGTTGATTACACATCTTAAAAGTTTATCATGACGCATTCACTCTTTTAAGATCAGTGTCACTGCTGAAGGAAGGAGATGCCAAGTAGAGTAGAGTATATCTCCTATACCAAAAGCTAATTGTTGATGTCTTTTGTATTATCTAATAACTATGCTGAACATACAAATCATAATCTCTTAAATAATATGAATTATAATTTTCTATCTTTGAACGAAGCAGAGAATCCAATAATTCATAACTCCACATTCTTTTTAGTATTTACTTAGGTAGTACAAGGGACAAAGACGCGATGAGTTACAAAATCCATGCATTGAGTGAGAAGCATGATGAAGTTGTGTGGCTATACAAAGCATTTTATAATTTTCTTTTACTGTTCCCCACAACCAAATTTACATCTACAATGTTCTGTTTAAAAATAATGTCATTCCTATGTCTCTAAATACTTTAAATTGTTATTGACCATATCACAAACATTGATTTCTAGCCTTTCTTGATCGTTGCTAATTTTAAAAAGCTCAACACGTATTCAACTTTTCTTCGATACTATCATTAAAATTTAGTAATATAGTATGTCAAATTAATTTTTATATGTTGTAACATAAGATATGCTCATCAGCATAAAATAAGACTACTAAATTAGTTTTAGGTTATGAAATCAAACTAATTTTAGACTACCGTAGTAGTCTTCGTCAACCATACCATTAAGGTATAACTCAGAAATATAGAATTTTAAAAGCATACCATAAATTCAAGAGCACTTTACTAATATAAGATAAAAGGTTTTTCTAATCAATGTCGTAAGATAAATGTTTAATAAATTAAAAATGTAATAAAAATCATATTAAAGTTGTATTTATGATCATTTTAAAAAAATTTAAATTTTTTTTACAAATGATTACTATATAGCAAACAATCCAAATAATTATACAACAACACCATCACCAAATTTTATCTCATCGGTTACGTGAATCACACCGCACCATAAGCTCTATAAAAAAAAAATTTTAAAATCTAATTAACTAAAACATCTCATTTAATAACTTCAGTTTTTTTTAGTTTTTTTCAATTCTTTTTTAATGGACTAAAAGTCATATAATCTACTCTCTTTTATGACGCTGCTAAAAGTTTTCTTTATGCATAACCGAATCATTAGATATACTACTTTAATATTATCTCTTATATTATTATTTTATATCATATTCTCTTTGGTGTCTCCATTTATCTACCTTTAACATTTTCATTTCTGTTATTTGTAATTTTTTATTCACATTGTTTCTTTAAAATCTAACATTTATTACTATATAGGATAGCTATTCATATAACAATATGAAGTTCTATACTTAAGCCATAAAATGCATTACTTCCCTGTAACAATTTAGTCCTAACATAATATCGTAATATCAACAAATTTTATGTTCACGGTCCGAAGACTTAACACAACCCTTCTCATTTACTTAGAGCTTCAGACGGGCACGAGGCTATAGACAAAGTTAGAATACTCTAAATAACTTAGTTATTATTATTTTTAATTATTATTATTTTTTTCGCTGTTGTGCAGGAAGCCCAAATCACCTCGTTTCAGCATTTGAAGACTTAAGTCTTCAATACACTTCAGTTCTTTGAAATACTTGCCACATATTCCTGTAGCAAACCTTGTCATTTCTATTTTGTACATGATCTACATATTGTCGATATCATTTAAGTTTTAACAGCCATTCCTGTAAGCAATTTTATGGTCGTTGGTTAAAAAGATACAAAGCATCAGCAATCACCTAAAATTTCTTGTTAATAATAGCAAATTAGTGAAGTAAGTTCAATGTATAAATTCCTGTCATGATGACAACTTAAAAATAAAAATAAGCAACTAGGTTTGATTAGCATTCTTATTTTCTGCTGAAATAATAAAAAAACCATTCATCCTTTTCCATTCCCAAAAGATAAGACTCAACAAGGATCATCTCTATCAGTTACATTTAAGTAAGTCATACATAAAATTTTATTTATAAAATATTATATTAAATATTGTGTTAAAAAAATTGCTGGAAATATCAGCTAACTCAAATAAATTGAGATTGCTCTCACATTCACTGTATAAATAATTAAGGAAAAAAATTATCCTCCTTAAAGATTAAAATTCAAATTAGAAAAATTAAGCAAATGCCATTTATTTTTAAAAATAATTTGATTTTGTGATCGTTTAAAAAAATAATCACTATTTTTTCATATAGTCTGTCAAAAAATTTAATTGATCCTTATATAACAAATGTTTTGCCTACGATATTATACAAATAAATACTAGTTTTTAATAGAAAGCAAATACAATAGTAAAATGTTTTCAATAATTTATTTTATACAACACTTTCTATAATCACTATTTTCTTATTTATTTTATTTATTACATAATAAAGTATAAATATAATTTCCCATTTGATAATACTTTCTCTGCTCTATTTTATAAGACATCTTTAATTAAATGACATCAGAATCATAATAAAACAGATTGTTTATAATTTATTCAGTTTTACCCTTACATGGTACACTCCTGCTACATATAAGAGTCTGTCCTTCCATGCTCTCTGTTGTGCCGTTAATATTCTTGAAAATATTACCTTAGTATAGATAATGTAATTTAAATAGAATATACTATTTCAAAAGGGAGTGAGGAAGGATGCATTGCAATATGCAACAGCGACTAATATGACTGTCTCAAATATTTGTCTTTAAATAAGACTTACATATAAAAATAAAAATAGTACACTAACATTGTATAAAACAAAAATCGCTTGTTCAGTAGGGTCTTCAACTAGTCCTCATCCTCACTTTACAAGAGGACTTGGTTATTTACAAATAAAAAAACCAAAATAAATATAATAAAAAATAACATCTTAAGCTGCACAAACGGGAGCCTTTCCGCTAACTATGGGCCTGACATTAGAACATTTAGCAACTGTTGGAGCTCCATTGAATGTAAGAGCAACATCAATCAGTTGCACACCCTCACATGGTACACCCCTGCTGCATACAAGAGTCACTCCTTCCTTGCTCTTTGATGTGCCCTTAATATTCTTGAACACAATTTTACTTATCTTTATTTTTGAGGGAATCTAAGCCATTGCAACCATAAACCAAAATAAGATTAAGGATTAGAATATTAGTTGTTTGAAATTTAAAGAATAGAAACTCTAGCATGATTATAAAGAGGGTAATGAATAAAGATATGTTTTAATTTTAAGATAGCTCTTGGTTAAACGTGTACCTGCTTTGAACATTGATTCCAAGGACAGTACTCTTGGTCAATGATAATTGGGTTCAAGACATTAACCATTGTAATATCTTCAACATGCATATCAGTAATGGGAGAAGTTCCTGGGGCACTAGGCCATGTCTTGATCCTTATACCATTGTCAGTATTTGTCAAGGTGCAATTCTTGACTAAAAGATGTTCCACAGACTCTTCATTTACATACTTTCCAAGGCTTCCAACACTAATGCCATGGCCAGGTCCACAATTCACGTTTTGAATAGTTATTTGTCTGCTGCCATCTCCGATTGAGATACAATCATCACCCGTTGCAATGTTGGTGTTAAGAATTTTCACATCAGTTGATCTTCCCAAGTGGATCCCATCGGTGTTGATGCTGTTACCAGGAGCACTGACGATGAAGCCATCAAATGTGACATTGGTGCACCCCAAAACATTGACATGAAAATTTTTGCTGTCCTTAGAAGTTATGTCGCGAATAATTGAATGCTTTATGAAGTTGAAACCAAAATTCTGTTGACATTTCACATGAAACTCAATACATTAGCATGTTATGTAAATATGCAGTTATATGACAATAGTCAAATGGCTACATATTATTTCCTTACCATGGAACGCCTCTTGCAATTCTTGTTTGTTCCACAGTCATTTTCTTTCCAAGATCTTGCCCCTTGACCATCAAAAGTGCCTTTACCTGATATGGTTAAAAAGTCAACATATCCAAATTTGACCCATTGATAAGCATCGTGGAGTGCATTTGGGTCAGCTGGTGCTTGAATGGTTCCATCAACTTGAACTTCAATGGGAGCCTTACAAGGACCTTTTACATCTATTTCATTCATCCTGTATGTCCCACGTGGAATCAGAATTTTGCTTGGAGTTGTTGATACACATGCTACTTTCCAAGCACTCGTGAAAGCCTTAACACATACAAAATGAAAATCAAATGCAAGATAACAACAACAATTATAATGATAATCAATGTAGTTTTCTAATATTTGAATTTTGAGTATATTCAATAGAATTTTACCTGTGTTATATCTGTGTTTGGTTTTCCACCAAATTTGTTTATATTAATGATAGTTGACTGGGCTATACCAAAGATAGCCAGCAACAAGAACAATGTAATCGTCGCAATGTTCAACTTCATGGTCATGTTGATTACTGTTGAACTTTGTTTTTGCACTTCTAAACAATGAATGTTGTTTCTAAAATACTGTGGAACAGTATTTATATTTGAATTGTGAAGCTTAAAGCCGCTAACAATGTAAACAAAGTACTACAAAGTAATTTCGTCCATGCAAATGGTGTGGTTGAGCTTGTCGATCGCTATTAATGGCAATTCATTAGATAACACTAATTTGTAACCAATTTGCCTTATATAACCTTTACCAATATAATTCGCAGAATGACTTAAGATTTAGTCTGTAATTCTTGGAAAGCCGAAATTAGACTTACATATTGAAGAACAAATAACGAATTGTCATTACTTTGAGCAAGAAAGAGTACCCTCAGTAGTAACATCCCTTTATCAACCATAAACTTAACTTGTCACCATGTCCAACTAATTGAGGTATAAATCAAGTTCATCCTCCTTTTAGTGAAAATAATAAGAAGAAGAATATTAGTTTAAGAGTTTAGTTTGAAATTTGTTAAAATAATAAATAATTATTATAACTGATTAGCCGATAAATGACATGTATACATGTTTTCAACAGATTTATGTTATTATAAATAATATATAGCTACATCTATATTTGATTTCCATGACTAATTTATTCTTAAGATTTCATCTTTATCAAAGTAAACAATTTGGAGGAATTAAATAGAATAGCTTATGAATATTAAAAAATAATTATATTTATAATTTTATCTTTGTATTATAAATTTAACTTTTTTACTTTTGAAAGAACGTATTTCACAGGAAAATGTCCGTCTCATTAGACTGTTACTTCTCTTTTCTAAATTATTTTATATCTCTTTGATACTATCATTAAAATTTATTAATATAATATGACAAATTAATTTTTATACGTTGTAACATAAAGTATACTAAAAGTTTTAGGGTATGAAATCAAACTAATTTTAGATTACGCAGTAGTCTTCGTTAACCATAACATTAAAGTATAACTCAGAAATATAGAATTTTAAAAGTATACCATAAATTCAAGAATACAAGATTTTTCTAATCAATGTCTTAAGATAAATGGTTAATAAATTAAAAAATAAAAAATGTAATAAAAAATTATATTAAAAATACATTTAAAATTACGGTTAAATTGTATTCATGATTAATATTTTTTTTAAAAATTTAAATTTTTTTAACAAATGATTAGTATTTAATATATATATATATATATATATATATATATATATTTATGCAAGCAATTCAAATAACTATACAACAACACCGTTACCAAACTTTATCTCATTAAGTAAAGTCGGTTAGGTGAATCGTATAACTCTATTAAGCTCTATAAAAATAAAATTTTAAAAATTTTATTAATTAAAATATCTCATTTAATAACTTCATATTTTTATAATTTTTTTTAACGGACTAAGAGTCATGCAATCTACTCTCCTTTATAACGCTATTAAAGGTTTTATTTGCATACGACTAAATCACTATATGTGTTACTTCAATATTCTTCATATGTCCATTTATCTACCTTAACATTTTCATTTTTGTTATTTGTAATTTTTTGTTCACGTTATTTCTTTAAAATCTAACATTCACTACTAACATGAAAATCTATACTTTAAGTCATATAGCGCATTGCTTAATTTCTAATAACAATTTAGTCCTAACATAATATCATGTAAGTTATATAAAAGATTTCGACAAATTTTGTGATAATTATCCGAAGACCTAACATAACCCTTCACTTTTACTCAAACTGTTGTGCAGAAATCTCAAATCACCTCGTTTCAGCAATTGAAGATTTAAGTCTTCAATACACTTCTATTCTTCAAAATACTTGCCACATATTCCTGTAGGAAACCTTGTCATTTCTATTCTGTACATGATCTACAATATTGTTGATATCATTTAAGTTTTAACAACCATTTTATGGTTTTAAGTAAAAAAATATACAAAGAGTCAACAATCATCTAAAATTTATGGTTAACGATAGCAAATTAGTGAATGTTATGCCAGAAATGAGTTTTTGAAGTGTTAACTTAGATAGCAGTTAGTAAAAATAACTTTGTAACTATACATTTAGAGAGCGATTCTCTATTAACCGCTCTCAGATCTATACTTTTGAGAGCGGCTCTCAGAACTATACTTCTGAAAGCAGTTCTATATTAACTGCTCTCTAAAGTCACATATTGGAGAGTGATTAATAAAGAACCGTTCTCTAAAGTCATTAAAATTATTTATAAATGAAACAAGCTCAACGCATTTCTTCTTCTTAGCTAACAAAGTTAGTCTCTTTTACTATAAGTTTTTTTCATCTTCTCTGCTCTCTTATGTTCTCTTTATCTTTTCTATTAATCTACTCTCTTTATCTTCTCTCACTAACAAATTAGTTTTTTTTCCACATTTGTAAGTATCTCTTCATTCTCTGTTAGCCTGCTCTCTTCATCTTTTATGTGCTAACAATTAATTTTTTCAATATCTGTAGGTACCTCTTTATTCTTTGTTAGCATGCTCTCTTCATATTTTCTACGCTAATAAATTGATTTTTTTTTCACATGTGTAGATACTTTTTCATTCTTTCTTTTTTTCTTCTTTTCTTTGTTAACAGTGAATCATCTATTCTCTTCCTTTCTTTTTTCTTTCTATTAACGTTAAAAATTATCCTACTAATTTTTTCTTTTTTTCTTTTTTATGTTTGGTTCATATAGATATGGACTGTTTGGTTAACACCAAATGTATAAATTCAAGATTCAATTTTGATTTGTGATAAAAATGAAGAAAACTCAAAGAAATTAATTTTAAATTTTGATTTAAACGTAATAATAAATTAATTTTACTTTGCATCAGAAAACTAAAAAAAAAAAATCAATTTCAAATTTCAGATTCGCGGTCTACATTTATACTTACCGGTCTCTAATCTTAAGTTTTAAGAGCAATTGTTTAACCGCTCTCTTAAATATAACACATCAGATAGCGCAAGATTTTAGAACAGTTCTAAACGCTCTTAAATTAAAATGGAACGGCTCTCACATCTCCATTCTGGCGTAGTGGAAATAAGTTTAATGTATAATTTCTGGTCATGATAGCAACTTAAAAATAAAAATGAGCAACTAGGTTTGATTAGCATTCTTATTTTTTGCTGAAATAATAAAAAAACCATTCATCCTTTTCCATTCCCAAAAGATAAGATCCAATAAGGATCATCTCTATCAGTTACATTCAAGTAAGGCATACATAAAATTTTATTAATAAAAAATATTATATTAAATATTGTGTTAAAAAAATTGCTCCAAATATCTGCTAACTCAAATGAATTGAGATTACTCTCACATTCACTGTATAAATAAGACAAATTAAGAAGAAGCCATTTATTTTTAAAAATAATTTGATTTGTGACCCTTTAAAAATATAACCAATAATTTTTCATATAGTCTGTCAAAAAATTTAATTGATCCTTGTATAACAAATGTTTTGCCTATGATATCAAACATATAAATACTAATTTTTAATGAAAAGCAAATACAATAGTAAAATGTTTTCAATAATTTATTTTATACAACACTTTCTATAATCACTATTTTCTTATTTATTTTATTTATTACATAATAAAGTATAAATATAATTTCCCATTTGATAATACTTTCTCTGCTCTATTTTATAAGACATCTTTAATTAAATGACATCCGGATCATAATAAAACAGATTGTTTATAGTTTATTCAGTTTTACCCTTACATGGTACACTCCTGCTACATATAAGAGTCTGTCCTTCCATGCTCTCTGCTGTGCCGTTAATATTCTTGAAAATATTACCATAGTATAGATAATGTAATTTTAAATAGAATATACTATTTCAAAAGGGAGTGAGGAAGAATGGATTGCAATATGCAACAGCGACTAATATGACTGTCTCAAATATTTGTCTTTAAACAAGACTTACAGATAAAATAAAAATAGTACACTAACATTGTATAAAACAAAAATCGCTTGTTCAGTAGGGTCTTCAACTAGTCCTCATCCTCACTTTACAAGAGGACTTGGTTATTTACAAATAAAAAAACCAAAATAAATATAATAAAAAATAACATCTTAAGCTGCACAAACGGGAGCCTTTCCGCTAACTATGGGCCTGACATTAGAACATTTAGCAACTGTTGGAGCTCCATTGAATGTAAGAGCAACATCAATCAGTTGCACACCCTCACATGGTACACCCCTGCTGCATACAAGCGTCACTCCTTCCTTGCTCTTTGATGTGCCCTTAATATTCTTGAACACAATCTTACTTATCTTTATTTTTGAGGGAACCTAAGCCATTGCAACCATAAACCAAAGTAAGATGAAGGATTAGCTAGACGATTAGTTGTTTGAAATTTAAAGAATAGAAACTCTAGCATGATTATAAAGAGGGTAATGAATAAAGATATGTTTTAATTTTAAGATAGCTCTTGGTTAAACGTGTACCTGCTTTGAACATTGATTCCAAGGACAGTACTCTTGGTCAATGATAATTGGGTTCAAGACATTAACCATTGTAATATCTTCAACATGCATATCAGTAATGGGAGAAGTTCCTGGGGCACTAGGCCATGTCTTGATCCTTATACCATTGTCAGTATTTGTCAAGGTGCAATTCTTGACTAAAAGATGTTCCACAGACTCTTCATTTACATACTTTCCAAGGCTTCCAACACTAATGCCATGGCCAGGTCCACAATTCACGTTTTGAATAGTTATTTGTCTGCTGCCATCTCCGATTGAGATACAATCATCACCCGTTGCAATGTTGGTGTTAAGAATTTTCACATCAGTTGATCTTCCCAAGTGGATCCCATCGGTGTTGATGCTGTTACCAGGAGCACTGACGATGAAGCCATCAAATGTGACATTGGTGCACCCCAAAACATTGACATGAAAATTTTTGCTGTCCTTAGAAGTTATGTCGCGAATAATTGAATGCTTTATGAAGTTGAAACCAAAATTCTGTTGACATTTCACATGAAACTCAATACATTAGCATGTTATGTAAATATGCAGTTATATGACAATATTCAAATGGCTATATATTATTTCCTTACCATGGAACGCCTCTTGCAATTCTTGTTTGTTCCACAGTCATTTTCTTTCCAAGATCTTGCCCCTTGACCATCAAAAGTGCCTTTACCTGATATGGTTAAAAAGTCAACGTATCCAAATTTGACCCATTGATAAGCATCGTGGAGTGCATTTGGGTCAGCTGGTGCTTGAATGGTTCCATCAACTTGAACTTCAATGGGAGCCTTACAAGGACCTTTTACGTCTATTTCATTCATCTTGTATGTTCCCCTTGGAATCAGAATTTTGGTTGGAGTTGTTGATACACATGCTTCTTTCCAGGCACTCGTGAAAGCCTTCACACATACAAAATGAAAATCAAATATAAGCTAATAACAACAACAATGTAGTTTTCAATCATTTGGATTGAGTAAATTCAATAAGATTTTACCGTTGTTATATCTGCGTTTGGATTTCCACCAAATTTATTTATATTAATGACAGTTGATTGACCTATACCAAAAATAGCCAACAAGAAGAACAATGTAATTGTTGCAGTGTTCGACTTCATGTTCATGCTGATTATTGTTGAACTTTGTTTTCTTGCACTTTTAAACGATGAATGTTGCTTTTAAAATACTGTGGAACAGTATTTATATTTGAATTGTGAAGTTGAAAGCCGCTAACAACGTAAACGAAGTTCTAGCAAAGTAATTTCGTGCATGCAAATGGTGTGGTTGAGCTTGTCACTATTAATGGAAAATCATTAGTTAACACTAATTTGTAACTAATTTGCCATATATAACCTGATAGCCTATGAATATTTAAAATATACATCTATGTATTGTAAATTTAATATTTTTACTTTTGTAAGAACGTATTTTGAAAAAAAGTCGTCATTCTCATTAAACTGTTACTTCTCTTTTCGAAACTATTTTATATCTCTTCGATACTACCATTAACATTTAGTAATATACTATATCAAATTATTTTGTATACTTTGTAACATAAGGTAAATTCGTTAGCAGAAAATAAAATTACTAAATTATTTTTAGGTTACGAAACCAAACTAATTTTATACTACTTACTAAATTATTTTTATACTACCATTAACTTATAATTCGAAAATATAGAATTTTAAAAGTATACCATAAATTCAAGAGCACTTTACTAATATAAAAAGATAAAAGTTTTTTCTAATCAATGTCCTAAGATAAATGGTTAATAAATTAACAAATAAAAATTTAATAAAAATCATCTTAAAAAATACACCTAAAATTACAATAAAATTGTATTCATGATCATTTTTAATAAAATATTTTTTAAAATATTTTATCCCATTATGATTAGTACTTTTAGAAAAATGTAAATAGGCAAGCAATCGAGCATACTATGAATTACTTTATTATTATTATTATTATTATTAGTATTTGTTTCGCTGTTGTAGCACAAGAATCCCAAATCACCTCGTTTCAGCAATTGAAGAAGTCTTCAATACACTTCTATTTTTCAAAATACTTGCCATATACCCGTAGGAAACCTTGTGATTACTATTTTATACATGATCTATATATAATATTGTTGATATCCTTTACGTCTCAACTACTATTCCTGTAAGCAGTTTTATGGTCGTAGGTAAAATAGATACAAAGCAAAGATCAACAATCATAAAAAATTTCTTGTTAAATAGCAAATTAGTGAAATAAGTTCAATGTATAGTTTTCTGTCATGATGACAACTTAAAAACAAAAATGAGCAACTAGGTTTGATTAGCATTCTTATTTTCTGCTGAAATAATAAAAAACCATTCATCCTTTTCCATTCCCAAACGCTAAGACCCAACAAGGATCATCTCTATCAGTTGCATTTAAGTAAGTCTTACATAAAATTTTATTTATAAAAAATACAACACTTTCTATAATATTATTTTTGTAAATTTTTGTTATCATATTAACGATCTTATCATTTATCTTTCTCCTTATTTGTTTTATTTATTACATAAAGAAGTATAAATATAATTTCTCATTTGATAATACTTTCTCTAGTCTATTATATAAGACATTTTTGTCTAAATGGCACAGGTCATTTTTAAAACAAAATTTAATATTATTGGACCTAATTCAACTATCAATATTTATCTTTTTTAATTTTAATTTAGGATCTCACCAGCTTTATTTGTTAAGAATAAAGAAAAAAATAAGAGTCATAAAAATGTTTTTGCGTAATGAACATATTTTACAAGTTGGAAAACAAAATCTATTAGTAAGAAAAAGTGGAATTGATGAGATAATCTAAAGAATCGTAAATAATTAGAAGAAATGACAGTGAGAATGAGATATGACGCGTGGAGTTTGGACAGAAAGAGGCATATGAACAACTCACCTTGCTTTTCTCATTCCCAAAATAACCATTTCGCATATCGAACGCACAAACATGGAATGCAACACAACCGTCTCCTTCAATTCATAACCCCTTTCCATGCAAATGCAAATGCCAATGCAAAACCCTAATCACATTGCAATTTGGCATCCAATTAATTAGGAGATATGAAGAAAGGCCTTTTCAAGCAAAAGCCCAAAACACCAGTGGAGCTTGTGCGCCACGCGCGAGAACTTCTCATTTTTGTCGACAACAAAACCGGAACTTCTCGTGAAAGCAAGCGCGAAGAGAAGGTGCTTTAATTCTCTTTCGCATCTCATCAATTTATCATATCGTATGTATCTTTTCATATTATACATATATATACATTTCAAATGCGTTAATTGCAGCTTTCAGAACTAAGCAAAACCATATTCGAGATAAGGACCTGTCTCTATGGAAACGGTGAATCGGAGCCAAATCCCGATGCATGTACTCAGATCACTATCGAGTTTTTCAGAGAGGACACGTTTCGCCTTCTTATCCTCTCTCTGCCCAATCTCAAACTCGGGGTAATTTTATCGTAACTCTTAAATCTCGTCGTCGTTTTCTCTGATATGCTTCGTTTGCATGAGAATTCGTGTCTGTTTATTAGGCTCGTCAAGATGCGACTCACGTGATTGCAAATTTGCAAAGGCAACGAGTTAATTCGCGACTAGTTGCTTCTCAGTATCTGGAAAACAACTTGGATATTGTGGATATGGTGCTGCATGCGTGAGTTTTCTGCTATGAAATTGAGATTTGAAATGTTGTTTTGTAATTTCCTTGCGCTTTATAAATGGTTGATGAATGTTTGTTTTGTTAGCTATGAAGAAGGTGGTGACATTGCTTTGACATATGGTGCGGTTGCAAGGGAGTGCATGCGCCACCAGTGCGTAGCGAGGTAGGCAATTTAAATTATCTGTTCATAATTAATTAATTAAGCTATTGAGGTTTCCATCGTGAGTGTGTTCACATTACATTCTTGGTATTATGGCGTTTGGCGTGGATGTTCCTCATTCTGATTTTTGGAGATATCTATTTAGAATGAGGATCATAATTCTTATTGATGTCAATAGGCTTGATGCTTGTTATGTTACTTTTCGTGGATTTAAAGGGAAAAAAAAACGTAATAGCGTCACATAGAAATTTTAATTTCCAATTCCCTTTTCTTGTTCCTCGTATAAATTCTGACGAGCTTAATTTATGTTTCTCAGGCATGTCTTGGAATCAGAGCACATGAAGAAGTTTTTTGAATTCGTTCAACTACCAAATTTTGAAATAGCATCAGATGCTGGTGCAACTTTTAAAGTTGGGTGTGGTTATGATACTATATCCTTTAATTCCATTCACACAAATCATGTTTTCTCACTGCTGTTTGCGTATTCTTTTACTTGGAAGGAAGTTCCAAAACATATCTATAACTTATTGTGAACATATCACATTTGTTATTCTATTACGGATACTTGAGCAAAAGGGATAAATATGTATGAGTGACAATGTATTTTTCTTCTTGTGCATCTTGTATCCGTCCGTTCTCAACGACATCCAAACAAATAATATTTTTAAACTAGCCTGGCTTAAATTGACTTGACTTGGCGTATCTATGCGAAGAACTCTTTGTATTTGGGACTCTGTTTTAATAGAATTATTTTGTATGGATACTATATAGGTTTGATGACTAAAACTGATACCAACATATTGTTTGAATATGAACTCAAAATTTGTCAATACCGTAGAGACGATCTGTCATTTCATCCGTGCTCAAGATAGTAAACTCTGATTGCTAGGGTGTTGTCATATGAATATGATCTGTTGCATATTGAGTCCTGGGTGCCACTATTTTGCTCTAATTTATAGCAAATTCATAAACATGAAAGCTGATGTATTCCCCTGATTGATGTACGCAGGAGCTATTAACAAGGCATAAGTCTACTGTCGCGGAATTTCTTTCTAAAAATTATGACTGGGTAAGTGCGCCATACAAAGTCTACTATTTATTTCATGCAGTAGGTACATATATTTGTTATCTGCAACTTAGAAAATGTAAAAGCAATCAAGGCTACAGAAGAGGGACAGAGTTTTCCCGTCATTATTTTAGCAACCAACCCGTTAGTGTAAGCATAAATTAGTCAATTCAGCTTTACAAAGAGTTCACTCGTGATGAATTCGTGGCTTCCTTGGCGGAATGTAAGGTTTCGCACCTTATAGATAATGTCAACATGGTCAATTTAAATAATTGAAGTCATTGCTTCTTTTATAGTCTACAAATTTATTCTACAATAAGTAATTCGATTGTTTTCGTCCAAAATTACAAAAAATTTTAAGTTTTATGTTTTACCAATATTTTGTGATATTATCAGCTAAAATATTTTACTCTCTGGTTGGCAGTTTTTTAAAGAGTACAATCAGCTGCTTGAATCTACCAGTTATTTCACTAGAAGACACGGTATAAAGGTATAGATTGATAAATCCGTATAATGAGGATGCACAGTCATTATTTCTTTTAGTCCTACACTTATTTTTACTTTCGTCGTGTCTTTCTTTGCCTTTTGACCCTATTTCATCATCTATGCTATGAAATAACATTGGTTGCCCATTTTATTTGTTTGCATCCAATCACAACATTCTTTACCCATTCTGCCATTTTAATAAACTTATGTTTCGAAATTCGACATATGTTGATAAACAATATAATTAAACACTTGTTCAATAAGAGGTTATCATATAAAATTGATGAGAACTTATGTCATAAGCGTTTAATTCAACAAGCTTGTTTGGATAAGCTTTATACCCAGTTTCTTTGGTGTTTCGAAGACTGTCCTAATCATAGTAACCAAATATGCTACAGTTATTGGGGGATATGCTATTGGATCGCTCGAATTCTGCAGTAATGGTCAGATATGTGAGCTCGTTAGGTAACATGAGGATCCTCATGAATCTCCTAAGAGTACGCTTTCTCCTACACACTCATTTTTTCAGACTTGCAAAACTTAAAATAAAAGTACTTATTTATTCATTTTTTTTTTTTACCTTCTTAATTTGCAGGATTCTAATAAGACAATTCAACTCGACACTTTTCACGTTTTCAAGGTGAGGAATGGAGAACGTGTTTATTTCTTTATACGTTCTTTTAAATTCAGCGTTCTTAGCTTGAAATTAATTATTTTTAATTTATTTATGGTGTTGCAGCTATTTGTTGCAAATCAAAATAAGCCTCCTGAGATTGTCGGCATACTTGTTACAAACAAACATAAGCTTCTGCAATTTTTGGGCAACTTCAATACTGACAAAGGTATAAAATATACTGCTTCACTTCTAATATATAATATTTCGATTTGTAATTAGTCGCGTGAGTTAGATTTTAACTTTGCAGCGGACGAGCAATTTCAAGCAGATAAACAACAAGTAATTAGCGAGATAATCGCTCTTCAACACAAGGATCGTCCATGTACATCTCTGGACAATTGTGAAGTGTCATGTTGAGTACTTCGTACCCGAATTTCCAGTTATCTTCCACTTTCTGAGTCCCACTTTACTATGTGATAATGTGAAGTCTCGTTGGCTCGCTTGCTTCTTTTCTTTGGCACATGTCATGCCCGCGGGCAAGAATTAAATATAACTTCAATGTAAATAGAAGATACATGGGATTTTGACTAACTTATTAATTGATTTATTTATTATTTATTTTTTATTTACTATTCTATTTATATACTTTTTTTGGTCCATACATATATTGTGTAGTAAAACATTTGTTTTGGAGTAATATCTTTTAATTGGGAAAAAGTTTTGAATAGCACTCCAATATTTTCCAACAAACTATTCTTACCATTAAAATAAATTGATATTTTTGTCAAAGACAAATTACGATGTTATATATTTAATAAACCTTTTATTTTACAAGAATATAATATTCTAGGAACGGTAATTACAACTTGGGACTAATGCAATTAAAATCGCATTTTGCCAGTCTCAAAGCATTTACTTGGCTGAAATTAACTTTTTAAATGAGCATTTTAAAAATTATAGCTCATGAATTTGGTTCCATCGGACTGTTTCGTTTTAAAAAATATTTTATTTTTATTTTTAATTATAAAATTATCATCTTATTTTTAACAATTTGTAAAAGAATTAAAAACTAACTTTTTTTGTTGTTGTTTCTTATACAAGTATTTAAAAATAAAATAAACATAAAGAATCAATTTTGTAATTTAAAATGAAAATAAATATTTTAAAGCTAAACAACCCCTAAATATAATTGGCTTTAAACGAAGGAATTTAAGTTTTAAAATTTTACTCGTTGTGAATGATTTATAAGTAAATTATTATTTATCACAATATATATATATATATATGTATATATAATGATTCTTACAGAATTTCAAAGGAGTTAATTCCAAAACGTGAACTACGATTTGCATAAAAAATAAATTGATAAGTTTTTTACTCAAATAAAATTTGCTTTTTATATATCTCGTGAATGTTAGGTTCGACTTGTTTTAGTTTGGTAAAATAGTTCAAAGTTGCATATTTTGATAAAATTATAGATAGATTATACTGATACTGTTTGTGGGGGGAGCGGGGCAGCCCAAAGGGACATGTGGTCTTGTAAGGTCAATTGGCCTCTCTATCTCTCCATGTCTAACATTTTCTTCTGAAACAAAATAACTTCTCAATTATGAGTATTGTACTTTTTCTGAAAGAAATTATTAGTTTTACATAATTCTCATTTAAATAATAATTCTTTTTCTCTGTCACTAATGAATGAGTATTTGCTTGCTGAGAGAAAAAAATTATTAAGGAGAGTTTTTTAGCCTGACGGAAAAGAAAAAAAAAAAGCGCATAAACACAGAATTGTCTCCTTACTTACCCAAAAAATAGTGGCGTTGACAATGTGTGTGTGTGTTAAGAGTTTGGAATTCAAGTTATAAACATAAAAAGTGATCAGTGACATTTGCTTAGAATAAGATAGAAGATGGAATTTCTGAACTGAAATGATTATGGCATAACTTGAAAGCCAAGCACAATACAATATGCAAACATCAATCCACCGTATCTCGTGAAGATAACAGTACAATAAAAAGAGGTAGCCGCACTCGACATAATAATATCTCATTTGATACTAAATTGTTGTGTACCACATTGTTGGATCATATAATTGTTTTAAAACCAATCAAAATGTCCCAATCAACCCAAATGCCCATTTCTACCAAACGCACAAACACTATTGTCTTTCCTTCAAAGCCAAGCTCTAACCATTATCACTTACGTGCTCAAAATCCATAATGGCACATTACACTCTTCCCCCTCAAGACATCATTACAAAACACAAAATGGTTAACAAAAAGCTACCTATAGCAAACCAACCTCTCCATTGATCACCACAATTCTCCATCATGCTTCTTTTTTACCTCTCCCTCCTCATCCCACTTTGTTCCCTTCCCCACATTGCATTCTCATCCCATTGCACCACAGAAACCACCACAAAAACATTCCAAAAATGCATGAACCTTCCAACACAACAAGCCTCCATAGCATGGACATTCCACCCCCACAATTCAACCTTAGAACTGGTCTTCTTTGGCAGCTTCATATCACCTTCTGGCTGGGTCGGGTGGGGCATCAACCCCACATCGCCGGAGATGACCGGAACACGTGCCTTAATAGCCTTTCCGGACCCAAACTCCGGCCAAATAGTCCTTCTACCATATATCCTTGACCCAACAGTGAAGCTTCAAAAATCTCCACTACTCTCTCGCCCACTTGACATCCACCTCCTCTCCTCCACCGCCGCCATGTACGGTGGCAAAATGGCCACCGTACACAACGGCGCTGCCATACAAATCTTTGCAACGCTCAAACTCAGATCAAACAAAACGAAAATCCACCTTGTATGGAACAGGGGACTATACGTTCAGGGTTACTCACCTACCATTCATCCAACTACTTCTAACGATCTCTCTTCCATTGCCACCTTTGACGTGTTGTCAGGATCTTCAGGTCCTCAGCACACAGATTTGACGATGCTAAGAGTGATCCATGGCACCTTAAACGCCATCTCTTGGGGTATTCTCTTGCCAATGGGTGCCATCACCGCACGTTACCTTAGGCACATTCAAGCACTTGGCCCTACGTGGTTTTATGCTCATGCAGGTCACTTTCCATCTATCCTTTTAGTATCAACTTTCTAGTCGTTAATTTTTAAAATTTTTAAAATTTCATTTTTAAAAAGTTTTAAATAGAAATAAATAACCAAACAAAATTACGCATTATTGTTTCTGTGTGAGAAAAAAGAATTTCTGAAACTACTTTGATTTGGGGTTTTTTTCTTATTTTAATCCAAAATATTGTTAAAAAGACATAAAAATACTTTTTTCTTATTTTAACACTTTTTATAATCAATTTTTCTTTTTATTAGTCTTTTCACATCACTAATATTATATCTAGAAATAGGTTTAGATCACAAAAAAACTATCCTTATCAACAAAAACTCTCTCCTAATATCTAATGGCCTTAATCTTTTCTCAATTACAAAAAAAGGAATACATGATCATATAGAGGACTGAATTATTTTATTTTCATGCAGGAGTACAACTGTTTGCTTTCATTCTCGGAACTGCTGGTTTTGCCATCGGAATCCGGCTGGGGGAACTATCGCCGGGAGTGGAGTACAGGCTCCACCGGAAGCTTGGAATCGCAGTGTTTTGTCTTGGAGCTTTGCAGACGCTGGCATTGCTCTTTAGGCCAAACGCAAGGAACAAGTTCAGAAAGTATTGGAAATCGTATCACCACTTTGTTGGGTACTCTTGTGTGGTGCTTGGCTTTGTGAATGTGTTTCAAGGCTTTGAAGTGATGGGTGCCAGCAGGTCCTATGCCAAGTTGACTTATTGCTTACTACTTTCCACTCTCATTGGCGTTTCCATAGCTTTGGAAGTCAACTCTTGGGTTGTGTTCTGTCGGAAATCTAAGGAAGAGAAGTTGAGAAGAGATGGACTCATTGGAAGTCCTGACAAAGGGAGTGGCAGTGGCATTCACCATTGATTCTTTTCACATTCAATTAATCTTTCATTTTGGGTGCTTTATCTTCTTATTGCTTTTTTTAATTTTGTATCCAATCCCAACTTGATGTGCAATTTTAATGATTTTGAAACATACCTTAGCATCTTAAACATATATATATATATAATATAATGGGGAAATGTATTAAAGGCCACACCACCGAAGGAACTATTGATGCAATTCTTCAGTGAAGGTTTGGGAGCCATTAGAAGGATATGGCGCAAGAGGTATTGATGCATGCAAATTCCAAGTCAAATAATGCCTTTGGACCACCTCCAACTTAACTGGGGTGTTAGAAGGTAAAACATGACCCATCCCCATAATTCGTTCTGCTGAAGGAGAATTGGGATGAATTTGAGTTTTATAAATAAGATTTAGTGTTATTAGCAAAAAAAAAAAAAAAGAAGCTAATTTTGGGTTAGGTTTGAATTGTAGTTTGATCCAATGTAAAACAACAGTTAATTTAGAATTATAGTTGTTATCGGTTGATGATAAATATCTAAATTTCTTAATTTGAATTAATAACTTTTTGTACGACAAGATAATATATATTGTAATAATTTATTCTGAAGCGTTTTGTAAAACCTCTTTCAAATTTGATCTTTTAACTTTAAAATTGTATAACTTAAATGTGTATTATTATGTTCAAATTTATATAATGGAGATTAAGATTGGATTAAACTTGACAAGTAGAATAACAGTCATAGTGGTTTATAAAATGTTAAATACTATTCAAATAAGAATTACAAGTAAATTATACGAATGTGTTTTACAGAGAAAATAATAACACTTATTCATATATATATATACATGCTAATATTGGGACATAAAAGGAAAGACAAATCAAGTTAATATTTTGAAAACCGCGGTAGTAGCAAATCATTTTCAATGAATAAAAACTTTATAATATCTAAAACATTTTAAATTTTAAAATATTCTCTTGACAACAAATTATTATTATTATTTAATCCAAAAAACACTTAGTGTTAGCATTTATATATATTAATATAATATATATATATATATATATATTAATTTTATTAAAAAATTTATAGCCACTTAAAAAATGTATTATTTTAATAAAATTATTAATATATGTTTTTATTTTGTTTATTATATTTTATATATATTTTTAAAGGACTCTAATTTCCTATTTTGTTAAACAATCCTATATATATATATATATATATATAACGTGTGAAGTATGTAGATTAATGGCCAGTACCACACAAAAAGAAGGATCACGAGTCAAAAGAAAATTCCATATCTACTCCTCGTTGGAACTTGTAGGTTATTCGATATTCGCTGCTCCCCACCATCCAATTATTTACCCTTAATATTTCAAATAAGAGCTATAAAGAAATAACCAAAATGTAGAGACAGGGCGAATGAAGGAACATGGTAAGCATTTCGGGTGTGTAATTGTAAATGGCATAAATATTACTTACAAATGTTATTAAACAAGTACGGGTACCTTCCTTCGAGTATGTCCCTTTACAATATTTTCTTGGCTCAATTTGACGAAAGATGGTTAAGAATGAGAAATTTTACCAACATAGGAAGTTCACTTTATTCAATTTCATGTCTTTTTGTCAATGAAATATTACTCTCCAACATAAGCCAACAAAACTGATAGCAAGAATCTTTTTCACTATTAAAGCCAACATAAATTATATATATATATATATATATATATGTTTTGGTGATGCTTTGAAAGAAATTTGTAGTTTGACAAATATTTAAGGCAACTGGATTATAATATAATTTACTGTAAAGTATTCTGCTTTTACTCTATGTCAGTGTGTACTCTAAGATAGTTGAAATGTGAAAAAACACACAGAAAGACAAGCAAAAGCGTATTTTTAAAATAACAAATGTCTAACTTTCAAGTATTTTGAATGAAAAACAAGAAGATTTCTAAGAATTGATGAGTCAAACAAATCCTAAAACTGTAACATAAAATAAGCCATCACACACGTTAGCTGATAAAAATCATTTGTTTTCAATTCGTTAAAATTTTAGTAAAATGAGAAAGAATCCATTGCTAGGACCAAAAGTTAAATAGTTGCAGTGAAGATTTCAGTTATGCAAACAGGTACAGCTACAACATCTAAATCGTATGACTTACTATGAAAATATTTAAGATCATGAAGATTATATAAAAAAACAGGTTATCATGATGATAATTAGAGACCCTTGAGTAGCTAACTATCCATGATTAGATGACTAACACTACCAAACTGCTGACAAAAACTAAGATACTACCAACATAACCAACCAACCGTTGTTGTCTAACTTCGAAGTTAACACCAAAGTTTTTCACAGTAGCATATAATGAACCACCGTCATGTCTACATCAAATACCCACCTAAACAATATACTGTCTCATATTACTAAAATTCATTTTCTGACATTATTTTATCAATTTTTCTAATATTTATTTAAAAGTACACACTAAAAACCTATGCGTACTAATTTTTTATTCAAAATAACAAGATATCACAAGATTCAATAGATTAATAACATCAGATACTATAAATTTTATCAAAAACTTGTTATTTCTTTATTTCTTAACTTGTGTCCTTAAACACATTAGAAAAACCGTTGTTTTACTGGTGCATTGCTTTATTAATGACGCTTACAAGTTGTACAAATCTTTCAAACGATATAGCTGTGTAAAAAATGGGAATGGGTAAAACTCAACTACACTAACAAAATGTTTAAAAGCAAGTATAATGAAGTACTAAATAATCCATATAATTTGGAAAATAGGAAAATGGGGAAAAATAAATCCATTTGTCACACATGAAGTTTGAATTTGTAGCATTAAGATATTCCCCTTTAGAAAAAAGAATCAGAACATATCGGTAACTTATTCATGGGACCCTAGACGGGTATCCCTTCAATGTTTCACACTAGTAATAAACAAAAACCTCAGATACAATCTGCTAAAAGCAAACCAAAATGATTGATGAAGAAACAAACAATTCCTGAGAATAACCCACAACTTTGCAAGACATTACAGGCAAAAATCTAACCCCCCAAAAAAAGGAAAAAAGAAATGCTGTCCATCTTTTTATATTGCTGCCTCACAAGTGATGCATGATACACTTCCGCTATATCCCGCAATCAGATTTTACATCTCACTCAAATCCCAAAACCTAAACAGTAACCCAAAAAACTCAAGCCTTAACATTCCATTGTAACTTCTATCTCTATATCTGAATCCTCAAAACAGGCACTCCAGTTAGCTCTAGATAACCAAACATCTTACGACTTAAACCGAAATACAGTAACAACAGTGGTGTGCAAAATTCACAATTCACCTGCTTCACTGGATTATCTTCACCTACAAGTTCGTGTCATCAAAATGATCTTCCTATGTAGCAATTCCTGAAGCAAAGATATTTATCAGTCAGTGTAGGCATACAAGGAACTAAAATTCAAAAATTGAAAGGACATATCATAAGTAAATGCATAAAGCATAATATCCACCCAAGTTATACGTTGATACAAAATATGGAGCACTATAATGGAATGTGCACCAGCAAGAATAACACAATCATAAAGAAAAATAATAATAATGTACACCAGATTCTGCTCTGTTAAAAGAACTTGAGTAATTTGCAGCCCTCTTGACTAAAAATAAACATCAGGAGGGTAAAACTTCTTATAATACCCTCTCTAGGTGGATTGGTAAAGTAGACCAACGGGAGAATAGCAGACAACAAAGCATTCAACTCTCATAGTAAGATTTTACATTCATGATTGCATACTCTAGTTTCCAAGTCAGATATTAAACACATTCAGCAAAAAATTTAAAAAACCGATCACAACTCTGAAGGAAAAGAAGTTAAAGAACATTAAGGAACTAGTTCTAGTCTGAGGTTTACATCTGTGAAAAATGAAGGCAATGCTGTTGAAAAGAGCCTAGAATGTGTGTGTGTGAGTAATGGAAAATGAAAATTTACAACACTTAAATGGAATTATAGTAAACATGTCTACAAACTAACCGCTCTTTTCTTATATTTTTTTCCCCATATGGTAATTCACACAAATACAACCAGCAACCATGTGGATTTCGAATCCACAAGTCCATTCACAACCCTTCTAACTTTTATATTAAGAGAAAAGATGCAATTAGACCCAATTCCTTATAATCATCGCCATTGCCCATTACAACCCTCGCTTGAATTAAGTTATACAGCTTAGCCACAACTTCTATTCATGAATAAAGTAATACTTTAGTTTGAGAATTTAAATATATTATAATACTTATGCATGTGCACAGCACAAATGTATGTTTAAGGTTATTCAAACTCTATTTGTACCAGTGAATATCTCGATCACTAATAGCAATTTCATAATTTGTGAAAGCACATACCCCTCCTTAATCTTATTTCTAAATTAAGACTGCCCACCTTGTTTACTTTTCCCATCCCTCGAATCCTGGACTTTTTTTTATTCTACAATCAGGTACGGTAGAAATTCCATCTATAATCTAACCCTACTGACACAAGCCATGCTAAAAGACAGGTTGGAATAATGAAAACCATATACATGATTTCTATTTCTATGAAGGCTGTTTTTATTTGTATCAGTACTCAGTAATAGCCATCTTTCAATTTGATGTTTTCTCGCCAATACCCATCTGACCTCTCAATTTTCAAATCCTACAAGCATATTTCATGCAAGATTAGAAACAAAAAACATTTAAATGTGAGGAGCACCACTCTCAGTTATGTAGTTACAATTCTGACATCTGAATGATATATCTTACTTATACAACAAAATACGGCACACAGATAATTTAATTAAAGGAATGGACTTGGGAATACATCAAATGGAGCAAAAGTATAAGGAACTCAGACAAAGATAATAGATATTAATTAGTCAATGTTACCACCCTTCAACAATAACTGCAGAGCAATAGAATAAAGGACAAGATTGGATGTCATTGTAACTGCTCTGAGAAACAAGCTGCTTAAAATTATGCATGCACAACTTCACCAAACTATATAAATATAAGTAAATGAGAAGACAACATTAGCTAGAGATCAATTAAACATGGTTCTGAAATTAGTCAAAATGCCAAGCAACTAGAAAAGGCATTCATCTAGATCATTGCACAAAAGTCCAAACAAATATTGTAAGGGGGAAACTGAGGAGACAGACTGAAAAATTGGGATAAATGAGTATGGTGGCCCTTACCTCTATTTGGCTGCCTCTTATTAACAGTATAACCACCAACATAACCTGGAGAACTCTTGGCAGAAACATCTGAAGCTGCACCACCAAGTCCATAACCAAAGGGACCAGATACATCCCTCTCAGAATTTGAAGATCGCCAAGTGGGGTCCCCATAAACTGAACTATTATTGTAAAAATCAGCAAAAGCCCCATCAACACCACCATTTGATGCAGAGTATGAAGATGTTGGTGCAAAAGTGGTACCAGTGCTTCTTCCATACCCTCCAGTCCCCAAACCATAACTGTTGTCACCACTTCCATATCCAAGGTTGCCACTACTTTGAGAGATATTGTTCCCTCCACCATGCCCAGAAATTGCTGAAGAACCCCAGTTGACTCCAGTATTGCCAAATGTGTTTCCTCCAACACTCCCACTCCCTGATCCAATGAATGCATTGGAATTTGTAGAATTCGTTCCATAGTTAAGGCCGCCATTACCCCACAAATTTCGAGTCACAGAACTGAAGAAAGAATTGTTTCCTCCATTGCCACTGTCATATCCAACAGGACTGCCAAACCTATTGGAGCTGCCAATAAAATAAGGATTCACTCCCCGACCACAACTAAGATTGTTATTGAAATTTGCATTCCCTCCAAATGCAGCATTCAAACTAGGCTCAAAATTCATACTCATCCCATAACCAGATCCAAATGGAGCAAATCCACTTCGCCCACCAGCAACTGGACTGAATCTACCATCTGCTCGAAGTCCGTAGCCTCCAACAGTACTAGGAGTATACCCCTGAGTGAAGCCATTTAAGAAACTATTGACTCTAGTAAGACCATAGTTATATCCACCAAGTGGGGTACGGCTTGGTCCGGGCGATAACTCCTTAGGAACTGCCCGCTTGACCTCAACCATTTTACCATTCAATTCATGAAATGTTTTAAGTAAGACCTTGTCAACTGCCTCCTCAGAATCGTAAGTGATAAATCCAAATCCTCTTGGCCTCTGAGTGTTGTGATCATACATAACTACAACATCTGTTATAATCCCAAACTGCTCAAAGTACTTCTTGAAATCATTCTCTGTCACTGTTGAAGCTAAACCTCCAACAAATATCTTTCTAGTGCGACCTGGGCCAGGAGAACCATGGATGCTGCCACTGCTTCTATTCAGTATGTTCTGATCATCCCTAGGAACAGCTTTCTTTGCCTCGACCTAGTCATAGATGAAACAGTATTGAGTGTTGACTGAAAATCAAGGGAAAAAAAGGATTTAAAGATCTATCAATCCTTAAAACAGATGCCTAGAAAAGAAAATAATAATGGTAAATGTGGAAAATTTTAGTTACTCCATGTACATTTTAAAAGCTAAGACAAGATTGGGATTGATAACATAACAAATTTTGCAAATCGAAGTACATTTCAATGTTAAACTGCTATCTCGGAATCAAGTATTCCAATGTTGTGCAATTCAAAAGGAGAACCTTAATTTAAAATTGCAAGTCTTAGACTTAAAAGGAGGGACATAGAAGAATTACCATCCTTCCATCAATGTTGTGTTTCTCTTTTATGACTATTTCTGCAACAGCTGGGTCTGAGAAAACAACAAAACCAAATCCACGAGCTCTACCAGTTGTCCGATCCTTCATTATCACTGCTTCCACAACCTCCCCATACGTAGTGAAATACTCCCTGAGTCGCTCTTCATTTGTGTCCCATGATATTCCACCGATAAATAACTTGCCATTATCTGATTGCATTTTATCTACAAGCAAAAGACACACTCCATCCATTAAGCACAAAAACTTACAAATGCAAGTGGCATCAGCATCATTAGAAATGGACAAAGCCAAGTTTCTCAAGCCACCTAACCATAGGGTAAAAGAAAAGGGATTTTCCTGACGGATCCAATCCAATCCTTTAAATATAACTATAAGCTATAGCATAATTTTTTCCTTCTAACTTTTTTTTATAAAAAAACATAAAACAAGATAAAAACAAATATCCCAGTCTGGGATAAAATGCGATTAAATCTGGGTAGGATAAAATCAAAACTTGATAGCATTATCATTTATCAAATTGTTCAAATACAAATAGTCCCAAGTGTGAGAGGAAAACATTACAAGCAATACCTTAAATTATGACAAACTCAGAGACTGTATTAACGATGCAAAAATAGATATTGTCGGATTCAGTTAGGAAACATCGGATCCTTCATCAACATCAAGCAGTGAATCAAGGAAGAAGTAAGCACTCCTGGAAAAAAAAAACAAAACAAAAGTTTTCAACAATCGAAGATCCAAAGGCAGACCCAATTGAACAAAGATCAAAACTTCAATCGAGATTCCGTCGAAACCCACCGATTGAAGACGACCCAGATGGCAAATCTTAAGATCTGAGGGGAGGCACAATGAGATTAAGAACAGAGGGCAGGTTCATTATCTGGCTATGCCTCCCCACCCTTTTTTTTCTTTTTTTTTTCAATTGTTAATTATATTACCAAATGCAAATTCAGTTACCAAACCGATTGCAAAATTTTATATACAAAACAAAACTTTGAAGAGAGAAAGAGAGAAACACATCGAAAGTTTATAAGGAGAAAGCGGAGAGAGAAGCTGCGAGATGTGGTATGAGCATTATATAGGGCCCTCTGCAAATGGAAGACGATGCAATTTTTTTTCTTTCTTTTTCTTTCCCTATTATTAATTATTTTTCCACTTTTCTTTCAAATTAGTGAAGAATAAATATAGAAATCTAAGAATTTTTTCCTGCTACTTTTAAAATAAAATTATATTTTTATTTCCGATAAAATATGTCCAAATAATTTACGAGAACATTGTTTTTTTGTCGGATCTTTTTTTAAAGTTATTTAATTACATTTCATCTGAGAAGTTTGATTTTAAAAAGTAAATCACTGTAACTATTGATCGTAAAAGTTAACGGCGATTATGTAAATTATTATATAATTTATCATACAAATACATGTACTTATGAATCACAATCTTAAAAATTAACTTTTTTAATTAATAATTTTCATTTCTCATTTTACTTTCTAAGTAAATTCCTAATTTTACTAGATTCAAATAGTAGTTTTTTTAGAAAGGTTTTAATGATGATACAAAATATTAACTTTAAATTATTTAATAAAATATTATTAATAATAAATATATATAATTATAATGATTATGTATTATTAAATTATTATTATTATTAAATATCAAACATTTAAAATAATTTTAAAAGATCCTCATTACAAATTAAGATAAAACAGAATTCGTTAAAAAACTAAAGAAAATTATTCAAGTCATAAAAATTTTACCATAGCATGACAATATAAATTAATTTTTTATTAAATGATATAAAATTAATAAATACAAATGTGTATAAACATTACGATAAAAAGTACATACTAATATAGGTAGGTGTGTATATATAATATGTACAGGCGATTATCAAGTTACTCTAACAGTAATTAAAAAAAATATATTTTGTTTAATAAATTTTTAATATTATATTTTGTCATTCAAATTGTTAAATAATAAAATATATTTGTGAATATTAAATTTTAAATAATTAAAAATTTCTATATATAATTTTTATGATTAATATTTATTTAATTTTTGAAAATATATAAAATTTAAAAAATTTATGTCATGAATATTTAATTTTTTTATTTGTATAAATTTCTATAAATTTAATTTAACAGTTAAATTGATCAAATATATTATTTATAAAAAAAATAACTATTATCAAGAATTACCTCTAAAGAAACTTGATTGTAAATATATATTAAAATAAATAAATATTCATTATAAAAATACATATTTACAAATATTTAATTTATAAAATCAGCGCATAATTATTAAATTTTAAGATGTTATTTTTATTATATTTTACAAAATAGAAAATATATTCATTTTAATTCATTCTATCGATAAAAAAAATATATTAAATTTTTAAAATACATATAATAATTTTAAATTATTGAAAAATTAAAATACACTAACTGAAACTTACACGCAGTGGAGTTATTTTATCAAAATGATAAATTTAGAACGATTTATGATATTTAAAATAACATGTTAATATTTAACGGATAATTGAGTTCAAATTTAACGGATAATCTAAAAATCATTTGTACGAAAACGAGGTTTTATTTGCTAATGGGTTAAAGTTTGGGTGAGTATTTACCTATAAACCCTTATAGAAATTAGAATAAGTATAAATACTCTACTATCGTTACGTTTCTACTTGCTTATATAATTGATATATTAAAATAAAAATAAAAGTAAATAGTACTATTAAAAATTAGTTGTTTTACATACATTATTCATTGTTAGTTAGGGTTATAAATAATTATTTTATTGCTTTACATTTTAATTAAGTTAATTGCTTTATTTATAATATTTTTAAAATTAAATTTAACTGTTTAATTAATATTTGTGAGTGAAAGGATAAAATGAGACTTTTAAAACGTATTGGGGTTGGTGAATTATTTTTTGGAGTAACAAAAACAGATAAAATAAAAATAAAATGAATACAACAAAATAATAATTTTAATAAAAGATACAAAGAAATGAAACGTGTGCGATCAATTTATCATTCTTCAGTTATAATTTATAACGCATGACATATATTCATCTTTTAAATAACAAACTTAAAAAATTTTCATTTTTATTTAATTTTTGCTTACAAATACTTCAAGAGACTTTCTTGTACTTAAGTCAAAAGTTGAGTCTACCATGATTTTTGTCTTCTCAAGATACTCCATAAACCCTCCTTATATCTCAACCTAAAATAAAGCAATCAGTATTTTTAATTTTCATTTTTTTTCTTTATCTGAAAATAAAGGAAAAGAAGACAATTTTTTAATTAATGTTCTTTAATTTTATAATTTTAAAAATTTAAATAAAAATAATAATAAATTAATATAAATTTAGTGTATTATAATTTTTATTTATTTTTAGAAATATTATGTATCTCTTTGAATTTAAGAACTAAATAAAACTTAACTCCATATATACCCTTAAACACCCTACAAACCAATGGTTGAAATTATTTAAAAAATAACTATACGTATATAATAAAATATGAAGTTGTTAATATTTTAACATATATTTTAAATTTAAAATTTTCATTATCAGTAAAATAAATGTCTAAGTATTTTTAAAATTTATATTTTTAGTATTCCACATATATTTATTAACTCACACAACATTCAATATACTTATTAGTTTTTTAAAATTAACATGCAAAATCTTTACTTGTTCAAAGATATATCAATAGGTATCAATTTATGAAATAAGTTATTTATGTTGTTCGGTCGTTTATTTAATGACAAATCAAATTATCAAACGCATAAATGTGTGTATCAATCATATGAAAAGAAAAAAACTTCCTTAATATAAAGATGTCTTCAAATTGAAAAATTATAGATGGATCAATTTTCAAAATGAAATAAGTTAAGATGAAAACATTGAAATTAAATTAATGTAAACACACCATTACTCACTTGAAAATGTTGACATGAGAAGAGTCTTATCCGAATTACATGGACACCAAGCTCAACATGTTGGAAAAGACTAGAAAAATGAGGTGATGGAATAAATAGTGTAGTTTGAGATGTTGAGAATAATATAAAAAGACCCAAAAGTGTATAATTATTTTGTTGGCAGTGTAATTAAAATGAAAGAAGGTAGATGAGAAGGATGATAGTGTAAAGATGGAAGAGAAATAGTAGATATTGATATGGCGGTGGTAAACATGATTATTGAATAGACAAATGGGTGGGAGGAACATCATCCCTTGTCACATGTTCAAACCATTTCTCAGCTTCCACCTTATCCTTTTTCATCTTTCAATACCCATTAACCTTTTTTTCTTTTTTTAACCACCAAGTCAAACGTAAATGAACACATTTATAAGTTTTTTTTTCTCTAGAATACAGAAAATTAACCCATATAAAGTTTCTCTTTTCTATAGCACAAAAAAACAAAAAATGAAAATGATTCTTTCATAAAGAAAACTAAAGGGTGTTTTTTTTCTCCCATTGTAAATATCAGTGTGATTTATAATATGTTATGCCCTCCTTTTGTCTTTTGCTATCTTGTGAAGAAATGTGGCGATGATAAAATCCAGCAAGGAAACAAGATGTGCATTAAATTTTCTTGCTGGGCATGGCCAAAACTTTTGTCAATCAGAATAAAACGTGACAATGATACATAAAAAAAAGACCCGTATGAACGTTCCATTGCAATTGTGTTGTTGACTTTCTTATAGTATGAAAAGATGATATTTTTTTTTTGTAGAGTGAAAGGTTGATATTTATTTCATATTGGCTAAAAAGTCATGTATCACAAGGAATTTTATTTCGTCCATCGATTCAAAAGATGATAGGGTGCAGTGATAAAATAAACGGTGACCGTCAATTGAGATTATCGTATATGTATGGAGGACCTAACTTCTAAATCATAAAGAATCTGTCTAGAACACAGAATATAAGAATATCTCAGAAACAAAAGAAATGGGCATTACCTTAAAGTTAGAAAGCATATAAAAGAACTCAGCATTATAAAAAAAACGTAGAATGTAACTTTTAGTTGTTTGATGCCTGCATTTTTTGTTCAATGATGAAGTTTGCAAGGTGGGAATAGTAGAAAGGAATAATTCCTTAAAAGTTGTAGCAAGTCCAACATTGATTGCCCTTACCATTGGCTCATATGTAAGAGAGTTAGCATTGAGTATTGACTATAATTAAGGGTAAGGTGGTGCAACTTAAGTGAAATATTTATAATTTTTATTGCTCAAAAAGTGATTAATAAAATGGTTGGGCCATGTATGCAACTTAGTGAAAGTACAATATGAATGAAGTTTGGTGTCTTAAAATTTTTGCTTATAATGCAGTAATGCACCGTTTTAAGTGGAAGTGATATTTATGGTTTTATTACTCTAATGTTTTCCCGTTGTCTTCTAACTACCACTGTTTGGCGTATTATGTGATTGATACCATAGTCAATAAATTTGAGACAGACTGGCCGGTTCAATGGATGAATAGAAGCATTTCAGGGGAAAGATAAGTGACTAAAAGTAAATAATAGTAATAATAAATAATGATTTTTATTAAAAATATAGTATTTAATATTATTAATTTATTAAATTATGCAATAATTTTTATTTTTAATAAAGATTTACTATTTATTGTAGTCTTTAAGAATGCTCTAAAAACACCAATAATTCAAATATGTGATTATGATTAAAACTTATCGAACAAGTTTGATTATGTAATTGTATCACCAAGACTAACTCTTGTCATTTATGTTCTCACTAGATGTCTTATACAGGAAATATATTTAGTGAGAAATGAGAGAAATTAATATTCATCATGCAACTCTGTATAAATGATGAAGATTTAGTCAGTTGGTACTCTGATGATTTCTGCTAAATGATGGCAAAATATATTCAGGGTTGCAGGGCAGGATACGAAATCACTTTGAGGCACTGTTCAATGAAGCATTCAGCTATGCAAGTTTAGCTTTGTTTATTGACTATGCTGATAAATAACTGTGACTTTTGGTTATTTGTTTCTCTCAAACGCTCATCTTACAGCTAGC